GAAAAATTTAAGGAGGTCTGAATACTTTCCGTACCCACTGTAAGTATGTATATATACAGTATAACATAAATACATGGATGATTTGAACAATAAAGGCTGGTGAGTGGATCTCAAAACAAAAACGTAAAAATGACATCAAAAACAAGAAAATCTAGAGAACTCATTATGTTATGTAAAGTCATAGAACAATCATTACATTTTATATTGTAACTATATAGAAATCATGTATGCTGTCATCAGATGTCACTTTAACTTATCAACTCATCATCTATTTTTTTTTTTTTTGCTTTTCCACAGTGTGCAGTGTTACGGGGCTGTGAGGATGCAAATCTACTCAGATGCCTGGAAACAGTTTCTGCTTTATCTGGTTTTTCTACGCCTTTGTGCTGGGCCAGGGTTGTTGGAGTCTCGGTTTTCAGCTCCTGCAATGTTGCTCGGATGGATGTTGATTTACACGTATTGATCACACTTGCCACAATGTTCCTCCTGAAACTATAGTCCTTGTCCACCTTCAGCGGTGTCACCACATACTGCTGAGCAGCCTTGGAGTACTGTTGTTTATGTTGCTCCTCCCCTTTCTTTGTTTTAGCCGTCTCCCTGTTCACATTGTTGTTGTGATCTAGCGCTGCAACACGCAGACGTGCCTCCAAACTTTCCCTCAGAAATTTCTTCCTCTTTGTGGCATACTTTGTATAGAATGAGTGAATACTTTCTAGCTGTCCTGTGTGAATGTCTAGTGTGGTTTTTTCCAATTTCTTTAGGAGCTGCTTGTCAAGCACTACCTTCTGCAGGTGCTGAAAGGCAGCAGAGCTATGATGGAGCCATGGACGCTTACTTTCTTCCTCAGGGGTTTATGCAGGGTGCTCACATTTGGTCATTGTCTCACCAGATACCCAGTTGTGCACATTGGTAATGTGATGCAGGATTGAAATCCACTTCTCTTTTAACTTCGTCACACTACCCTCACATGTTGTGACACAAAACCAGAGGTGGTTTGTGATCATTCTGATCCACTCAAACAGCTCTACATTGTGGCACTGCAGCAGTCGTTTTTTGACAGACTTCACAATGTGCCAGAGGTCATACTCATGCTGTATTGATTCATATTCCAGACGCATGACTTTCTGCACTGATGGGTGACAATCGGTTGCCAAAACAGATATGGTCACATCATAGTCTCCCAGCTTGGAAAGGCACCTCTCCAAACTGTCCACCTCAAGCCAATAACTGTTCCTCACCTCCGTCACTTTTACAGTTTCCTGTGCCACCACCAACTTTGACTTAATATCCAAGAGTGAGTAGGTCCCGTATGAAGCATTATGACCTGGGCTGTCATATCTGCAGTCTCCTGACACAATTAGTGGCTCATCATCACATAAAGTGCTCAGTACAGCCTCATTGTGTACTGTCCAGGCATTGTTGACCTCTGGGATGACGTAGGCCTTCTGTATGTTGAACCACTGTCTTTTTGACATGGTTGTCAGACCAATGGTGTCGCATACCTCCATGAATGGACTGCACTCGTTTCCAGTGACAAACACAGCAGCAGGGACAGAAACATTGCATTCCATTATTCCTCCAACTAATGGCTGAGAATGCCACATATAATTATGGCCATCAATGCATTCTGTGGTTATCCTAAGGCCAAATCCACATTCAAAGACTTTTGGTGGCCTCACCAGACATTTGCCACAACCCTCCCAATGGCACACACAAAAGAGCTTCAGCAGTTCTCCTGTAGAGATGATACTGTTTCTATCTTGTAAGATATTTGGTTCCTCATTCTCAATATCACTGACACATTCATCCTCACTATTGATGCTTCCCTCCCCTGCCAAGTCAAACTCATCATCATAATCTTGACTCTCGTCCATTGATCTTTCTTCCTCAGAGTCTTCGCAGCCCTCACTACTAAAGTCAAGATGATAAGATGATGGTGCCCTAGCTGAGGAGAGGTATTCCACAGATGTACAATATGAATGGTCATTCTTTACTACTAGGTTGGTACGTATGTCATCTGTCAAACTGCCTGTGCAAATGTACTGCTTATTGCCTCCCTCTTCTGTACCCTGTTCAGATGCATCAGTCTGGGTGCCGACACTGACTGTCTGGGTGCAGACACTGCCTGTCTCCTGCTCTATTTCCTCACTGATGTCAACTTCTGGGAGTTTGCTGCTAGCCAATAGTTGCATGTACTGTATGTCTGCCTAACCTGTAAACAAAATCTGACGTTTATATTTAGCCAAATAATGTTGATTGCCATGACAGAAAATACCTTAAATTCTGACTAGTAAATCATATTAAAATCATATCCATTTTTGTTGTGTTATTAATATCCAAGAGTGAGTAGGTCCCGTATGAAGCATTATGACCTGGGCTGTCATATCTGCAGTCTCCTGACACTAATGTACAGTACAGTGTAGCATACTAAAATCTTTGAACAGTGTTTACTCCGCAAATAGTCCATGATAGTTGTGGTGATATATCTAGTATCTATTTTGTATTTTATTATTATTTTTTTAATATTCAAGTTAGCCTTTACCTTTTGTATGTGTTTAATTGTATTGGTTTATTATCTTTTTTTATTTTATATTTAAACTCATTCACATACACTCACACTAGTTGTTAGTAACAGATAAACTCAAAATAACTGTCACCTTGTTGACCAATAGAGGGCCCCATTGCTATTTTCAAGGGAATTGCGGGCTGATAAAACAGGCGAACAAAATTAAGTCAAAACAGCTAAAATAGCTAAGGAGTGAACGGCCATTGAACAAGAAGAAGTCAGGACAACTAAAGTTGGTTTCAAACTTTATTGCACGGAATGCAAAATGATAAAAAGATAATGGCGTAGATTCAGAAGATTATAGAATTGGGGATAACGTTTGACGATTATCCAACATACGGAGTCCGGACTGGTAAACGTGGAGACACGGTAAGAAATATTTACTTTGTTGTTTTCATCGGCTTTGATCTCTCGCTGTCTAAAGAATCAAATGCATGTTGTGAAATGACAAACGAGTGTTTATACTTGTGGTTTATTTTAATTTGTGACAGTCATTTTGGCAACATTCTGTATAGCCTATGATAGAAATTTTGAGGCAACGGTGGGATTGTGTCTGAATGTATTTCAAGATGGGAGGAGGGGCAACAGGTGAACAGTTCTGCTGTTTGGAATGATAAGTGTTCATTGGGAGAAAGGTACTCATATAGAAATTTAATGAAAACTGCTTTTTTATTGTGGATATACTGGATGTCTTAGTATGTTTAGGCTTTTTTGGGTTGCTAAATACCATATATGTCTCTTCATTACCTGACTGGCACGTTTTAGAGCCCTTTCCCTGCGGCGGACTGATGTGTTACTGTTGTCACAGAATGTTGGGCGGTCAGTAGAGCACGCGTTATAGCCAGAGAAATTAAAAACAGACGGAGCAGCTTCAGGCTTAAGTTTGTTGGTGGCTATGAATGACTAAATTGGCTGACTCAAAAGTTTTCTCCTGAATGTAATCTTCCTCCAAAAATGTTCACTGCATACTCTGGCCTCAGCGCCCATTGGAGGCATCTTCCTTTTCAATGCCGCTAGCCAGTGAATCAGTACTGTTCTCCATTTTAGTGGCAGTTTATGGAAATGAACTCGTTTGCCCTTTGCTTTAACGCTGTAAAAATCACTTTTACAACCAGGAGCAATACAGTAGTGCCCCCCCTTCTGTCTTCTGATGTGGCTTGTGGTATTTGGCTTTCTAGTCTCCATCGGTCAGTCCGTTACTTCTACTGTATCTGTTTACTTTAGGCAACTGAACCAACCCCGTGACGTCACACACTGTGGTATTCCAAGATGGCGGCACCCTTGCTCCAAAAGCTATAGCAAAACATCCCCTTTTCTTTAAAATGGTTTCATTAATTGTGTTTGTTTTATATTTTTTTATTTAAGTGGAAATCAGTTTACAAAATAATGTAAACTTGACTGACTGCTTCACTTCCACTTTAAGACACTGACAGCGGGGCTGGTGGTCACAACCTCCAGTATTCTAATTGAAAAGGTTTTTGACATTTTTCTTCAATTACTTTTGCGTTGTTCTTCTTCTTCATTTCATCGACTAACTCGAGCCTCTCCTTTTCCAATGTGTCCTGATTTTCCCCAACAGGATGCGGAGGGAGATAATTCACTTCCGCTTTCTTTGGTCTTTTCACATTTTTAGCTGGTGCGGCATCGGTCGGTAGCTTCCTCTTCAATGTGTTTACTGCCAATTCTGGATATGTATATTTTTGTGATTTCAGCTTGGCACGGAAATTGTGCATTTTGTACTTGAGGCGTTGTTGCCATCCATACATGCCTGCAAAGGACCTAGGCTCCTTAAGGCATGGAGACTTTTTAACAAGGGCTTCAGCCACTGAGGATATTTGCATACTTGAAGGGTAGGCCGTGTAAGAAAATATAGCTTTGGCAAGGTCTTGCATTATTGCAGATTTAACACTTGCATCATGGAAATGTGTTCCAGAGGCATGAAATGACTTGTTAGCCTCTGCAAGGATAAGTTCAATGTCATGGGAAAACGTCGGCACTTGAAACAGCACTGGCCATGGAGCAGAACGACATGACTCAGGGAGAAGAACGGTGTCTTGTGAACTTGACAGTTCAACGTCATCTGCAAGAGAGGTGTACGCTTCACCATCATCCTCCAAGGTACTCTGTGTAAAGGACAGTCCTGATTCATCTAGTGGATGCAAGTCAAGGGTTATCAAGGGCTCCTTTCTTACCAATTTCACAGTGGCCTTGTCTTCCAGGTTGGCAGTTGAAGTTAGAGTGAAAAATTGGTTCCCAAAGTCTTTGTCCTCATAGAGTAGTCCAAATTCACCATGTACCTGGAATGTCTGAATGATTTCTGAAACAAGATCTTCCACCTTATTAGGAAATCCTGATGGAAGTGTCAACTTTCGGATATTGTTTTCTTCTATGATGACTCGCAACTGGACTGGCATTTTCCTTGTATATGTTGTCTTCAGCTGTAGGAAGACAGAAAAAGATGAGATTGCATTTTTGTAAAAATTCAATAAGTATACTTGACATGATTGATAAGGCATGAATAATACACATGATTGATAAGGCATGCATAATTAAACTGAAGTGTAAAACCTACTCTGATATGTAAATGAAGTGTATCAGGGACACCATTCGACCATGTACTGTATTATATGCAGCCAAGGGGTATGCATCTTTCATTTCCGAAGCTTCTCAAGTGCTCATGGTACCACCCACTTAGCAACTTCAGAACAAAGACAGGACTTTCATGCACAATGATTGTTTGGAGTATTTCTCCGAAGTCAGGCAATCCTCCTGTTGATCCAAAAGGCAACAACATTCCAACACAATAGTCAGTGCCTAAAATGGTGACTTTGTTTGTCATGCTCACAACTGCTGCCCTGGGAAACTTCTTTACAAATTACTCCTTAATGCTGTCCTTTAGAACCTCCACTGCCACATGAGTCATTCTTTACACAGAGAGTTTTGGCCTTACAATGTTAGCATCATGGATGTGATATACAATCATTGATTGGTGTTTTCTTGCCATTGTCTTGAGAATGTTTCTGAATGACCCCAGTCTGCCTCACAATCCTTTTAAAAAATCGGTGTTTGGATTCGAATCGCATGGTCCAGAGAAACACAAGTGGTCCAAAAGCAGTTGTAAGCCAAGGATAATGCTCCAGGAAGTGATGTTTCGGTTTCAATTTCTCCTCTGGGAACACATCCAAATACCTATAACGGTGTTCACTAATCTTGCTTTCCATGTATCCTAGCGTCTCATCTGTGTAAACAGGAGCCATGACAAGCTCAACAATATCTTTCAAGGTCATCAAAACCTGCCATGCTGTGTCCTCTTCTGGCACTTTGTCGCCAATCATAAAAGGTAGCATCCATAACAAGCACCAGTTTTCATGTGCATTGCCTCCTATACTTTTACGTGATGCAAAAGTCAGGGGAATAGCTTGTGGACAGTTGACTTTGTCATTCCATTTGTAGGGAAATCGATGGATTGAAGAGTTAAGTTCAAGAAGAGAGAAGTATTTCTTCTTTATAAACACATCAAGACACATTGCCAGTTCAAAAGATACAATTCCTTCAAGCAAATCATTCAAAGCATCAGGGGGATAACCTGATGTGGCATGAAAGTAACTCAGTTTGTCAGAGATGGGACACTGTCTTTTAACTCCACAATGATGAGCTTCAGCAGTGTCAGACAACGCTGCTTCGACATGGAGGGTATGGCTGGACTTAGTTCGTAGAAGAAACATTCCTGCTCTTACTTCATGTTCCTGGATCTGTGAACGCTCTCCAGTGCAAAAACGACAAAAATGTGAGGAAGAAAAGCTTTCAACAAAGCCACCGATGGAGTGAGCGCCACGATTTTCAGCTGCTACGGCAAATACAGTGCCCTTCACCAATTTGCCCAGACTTGGTACAGATATACCATCATCCTCCAAGCATTTCAAATCTTTAAGCAGTGGCTCCAACACTTTTGGGTATCCATATTGCTTGACATCATCTGCCTTACAAAGAATGGCTAGATAAATGGAACTTAGAGTAGATCGCATGGTAGTAGGGATGTCGGGAAGCACCCAGTACACACCAGTGAGTTTATGCTTCTTGCGTGAAGTCCCTAGAGGGTTGCATATTTCAAAGTCATCTATGTAAAGAATCAATGGGAGTTTAAGTTCATCTCCAGATAAAAAGCTGTTTTCTCTGTAGAAAGATCCATCATGCAATGATCTGCATTCAGAAGAAACATTACATGGCCTTCTGTTCTGTAATATTGTCTCCTGAATGTGTCCATTGTTCAAAAGTTGAGACAATAATGGGAGAATCGGAACATACTGGAAGGTTACATTCTTGCTGCTATCAAGTATGTACTCAACTGGCTCAGTCAGTGAAAGATGCTCCTTTATAAATTGTTCTCTCCTATAGTGTGTGCTTAAAGGCCCATCCAATCCTAAAGCAGCACAGAAAGGGTTAAGCTGGCAAAGATCTTTCACCAGTTCTGAAATCACAGAATCTTCAAAAATGCAGCCCTGCTTCTTTAGAGTGCTCAGTATAATGTTTTTTAATAATAGGGCCAGATGCAGATGATGTAAGGAAATTAAGTTCCTCTACTAGTTCATCTATGTATGTATTAGACACATTAAAAATGCACTCCAATTTAAGGAGGAGCAAGCCCAGTCTCCTGACAATTGTTTCACTTAAGTCTTCATCCTCCTTAAGGACAGAGTCACAGTAGTTTTCACTTTCAAAAGAATCACTTTCTTCATGAATCTGGCTTTGGTGTTCTTGAAAAACAATGGTCTTAAAATCTTCCACTGAATGGGGGCTATGTTGCCTGCTCTTATGACTGTGAAATGTTGTATATACATTTGTTTTGTAATCACAGTCTTGGAAAACACAAGGCACAGTTTCATACTTTTTAAAATGACCACCCAGGTGCTCAAAATATTGTCTTTCTGTATGGAAATAGCATGATTTACACACTATGCATGTGAAGGAAAGGAGCTGGCCTGGCTTAGTTGTCTGTGGATGAAACCTGGACAAATGTGTCCATAACGCAACCCATGTCCTAAAGGTGCAAGGGCAATCAGAATGGAGACAGGGTATGGATTGGTTTCGATTATGATGCCCATGTTGTAATCTGTAGTGTTTTAATAGTTCCAATCGTTTTGATGATGTAAAGTTACATATTTTGCACAGCCAATTCATTTGCAATAAGGTAGAACACCCATTGACTCAGTGTTCAGTTCGGGTACCTGAAGTTAACTTGTCTTGAAAACTGCTACACATACTTCTTGAATTCTCCTTCATATAGATCTTTCTGTGGAAGAAAAAGAATGTCAGAAACAGGATTTTTAAATTATTAGATTTTCGCACTCCTGTAAAATGAATTGTACATCATTTATATTCATATTCATTTATGTTGCATTTACATGAATGCAAATGTTATAAGTTTAGAATTTACTAAATGTTTAAAACATATTTTGCAAAATAATTACACCAACTGTACTTGTGCAATGTATCTGCAAATC